ACTATATATGTATAGTGTGGTTATAGGTAGTCGGCACGAAACCCTGGATTTAGATTTCGTGATATTTGGTATTCGCTAGTTAGATATACCTGTAATCTTGAAGGAATTGATACTTTCTGTAAGATTCATAAGGTTTTTTTAATACAAATCGCATGTATTCATCTAATGATTTCCTGAATAGAGTGAAACATATGTTCTAGATTTTACTATTAGCTATCATTCAACACATATTAAGGTTTCATACGCATTGTTCCGTTTATTATCTTGAGGAGAGAAAAAAAAACCCTAGGTTGGTACAGAATAAAATGAATTGATATTGTTCTGCATCAATCGTTGCTTTTTTTTAAACTCTTTTCAAACTATTGAAACATACATTTAAGATGGTTTCATATATGGGCTAACGGAGACTGATTAATTCAATCTTAACTCTTAACGATACACAAATAGAATGGAATACCTTTTAACTAATGACAAATAAAAATATTAATATACTGTAGTAAACGAAGACTTGATGGGGATGACTAATTTAATGTTAAATGCAAAATTACAGAGTACCTTCGTAAAATATGAAAATCATACATTAAATACATCATTTGCACATCTTTGTATTGTCCTTTACATACTTCATTATTCCTCTAATTCTGTTGTTATTTCGATTGCGCTCCAATTTCCTTCCTATTCTCTTCATTTTAATCTTCTTCTGCCAGGCATTTCATTTCCTGTTGATGCTACATACTACTTATACCTGCCAGCATAAGTAGCATACAACACAATATCATTAGTTATACAATAGATTTTAGTAAAATTACAATGTATGGATTGCAGTAGCTAAATTATTTTCATATTTTATGATATTCCATTTGAAATCAGTCAATCAATATGTATTCAACACTGCCTCTCTCTTTCCGTTCTCCTCATAAAGCGCCTACTTAATAATTTATTTCTGCTTAAAATGATCATTTACACGAATAAGTAAGTAATATCAATAGTAGTGGTAGTGGTAATTTATTTCAAAGTAATCCAATTAGGAGAGAGGGATTTATTTGTCAATTTACCTCTGCTACATATGCTACTATTATTTTCTGTGTTCATTTCCGTTTTTACTTCTAATCATTGTCTTTCATTTGCCTAAATTATTCTTATTACTTCCATTTATCCAAGTTTATTATTTTGACATTTTTATCACATGGTCGCGATCTCTCTGTATCACACACATTGTCTCAAGAGATAGTGATCAGATCGTTTAAATCATGCAATGGGTGTGTTATTGTTATGTCAGTTAGTTGAAACTTTATTTTTATATCATAGGAACATGTATTATCTACGCCCAACCACTGCCTATCTCGATGTGCTATATTAGCTTGTATGTGAGTGGGTTTAAAGAAAAACAAAGGCAAATGAACTCAGATAATGTGTCTGTTCATGAGGTCATTAACATTTGGGTTGAACCCTGTTGGTGTGTTCTTACAACCTGGTTTGTGTTCGTTCTACTGTCGTAACCAGTGGTTGAAGACGTTGGGTACTATGGTTCAGAATTGGTCACACTGGGTTCTAATGCATTCACTGTTTGTCCATAAGTTTCAAAATTATCGTAACGTTTCTCATCCCACAAATTCATGCTTCTCGAATCATGTTATCTATAACTTATCTTTTTGATTACTTCTACCACTGTAATTTACGAAAAAGCTAAGTCTAGCTGCGAACACAGATTGTTTATGAAGCATTTACTTAGTCTACAATCCTCCATTTCCATCTTTTATTTGTTCCGCAATCCAAGCTGGTTGTAGCCTGTCTTTTTTAGCCCCTCTTCTGGTCTCAAAAGCATTCTGAACTTGCCGTGTTCTTTGTTTCCTGAGACCTTTGTCCTTGGCTATTTACTGCAGCAACCCCCTAATGACACTCCGCTGCATACTAATTACAATGAATCTTGCTAGTAGCATCTAAAACAACATTACTACTTCTACTACCCTGGGATTTTTCTTGATAATTTCATCTCATTATGAGCATATAGTGTGACATCTTGATTTAATGAAAATATGTGTCGGATTCTACATTGCGTATATCTGACTGACTGGCTGATTTATATCTCTAATCACTTTCTTGATTCAGTGTAAACTATCAGCGATTAGTAGTGAGCCTCTGTTTTTAGATTTGTATCGTACTGCAAACCAAATAAAATATTTCATCTTAAAACCTTTTAATCAATGGTATCTATTAATTATATTATGATCTGTAGTATACCATTATAAAGCTTACTGTGGATTATTTTTTCTTAATGTGTAATGCCTCATTAACCTGAATCGATCACATTATATTCATTCTATTGTAGTTGTGTTCTTATTTACTAATTTATTTTTAGCTCATTTATCAAGTATAGATTTGTGCAATCGTCTTTGAGACACAATTTAGGCATGATCATAGCTAATGAATAATATTTTATTTAATTACTCAAATCAAAGTAGGCGGAGCAGAGTTCAAACCTGATGCATAGTGTTTGAAAGTTAAGTGCCTTGACGCCTGAGCTACTCACTACTTCATTATGTTTTGTATTCACTCAATATATCTCTTGATGGTAACTATCCTTTATATTCTGAAAAAAAAATAGTGGCAGTGGTAGTAGTAGAAATACGAACAGGTATTTTATTCCATGTTAAAAGATTACGTAATAAAACTTTGTTCATTTCTATTTTTTATTTTACCTTGTTCTCTGTTGTTTCTCATACATATGACTTTTCTTACAATGCGTCGTTTTCATTCCGGAAAAAAGTCGATTAGAATGTCTTTCGCTCTCTCTCTCTCTATGTGTGTGTGTGTGTGTGTGTGAGTGCATGTATATGCATGCGAACGACTTCATTTTACATGAAACACCAATACATATATATTTACTTCTTCTGTTCAATTCTTTTCTTCTCTCTGTTTTATTTTCTGCCTTAATCAACCCTGGGTAAAATGATTAAATATAAATTTATATAATGATAGTCTATATGTGCATGTATTCATGCTTATCTTTGTTGATCCAATGTTTTTTCTCCTTAAAACAAATATAGAGAACCCAATAATAATGCCATTGTTTTGGTTGTACCGTTTTAGAAACTTCTTTTTTTTTCAATAAAGTGTTAGTGATCCTTTTAAAAATTCATCAGGTCTTAAGATTATGGTGTTTAGTGATAAATGAAATAGGGTATATTGTTTATATTTATATGTTTTTGTAGGGTGTGGGGGCGTAGAAAACGTAGGTGCCACTATGGACACATACATATATTTATGTAATATTATAGAAAATACACAGTGAATTGTCAACTAACTAGAGCCTAGATTTGAATTATATGTATTAGCACGTGAATTGTCCTATTTTTTCGTTTAATCGATATATATATGTATATTTCTTTAAGCTAGATCAAGGAAATTGTCTTCATTATAGAATGAATTCCTGCTTTTTTTGCTTTTAAAAATACTCTTGTTACAGAAACCTAGATTAAATAGCCAGTGATTTTAACATTTGGGAAATTAGGTTGTTGTTTTTTCTTGTTGTTGTTGGTTGAAAACGAGAAATTGTACCCCTTTGTCCAGTGCTTTATGTATCCATGTATGTAATGTACTGTTAGGTAAATTTATTCTATGAGAAGTAAATACTGAAAACGTTTTTATATCAAACAGTTAACTCAATTTAAGTTTAATTGTTATTATCCATATGTATGTGTGTATGTAATTTAGAAATTGATTAAAAGATTTATAAAAGAATAATCGAATTTCAAAGAATCAACGTCTACTATAGTAATGACCGTTGAAGACCAGAAAGAATTGAACAATCATTAGTTTAATAATAATCATGTGTTCAATTGTTTTGTTGACTTTGTTTTTGGAAGTGATCTTCAAAGTTTTATAATGATGTCGTGTTTAATGGAGTTAATAAAACATTTCGAGTTAAAGAGTTATTTATAAGCGTCATCAATATCGCAAATCAGAAACTTCGACTACTGAATTTCAACTAGATGATATAATGGTTGAGCGATCAACACTAAACATGGACTTGTTGGCTCTGGTCTTTGTTAACGTCATGTTTGCTCTTTTTTGAGAAATTTCGTACTATGGTGAAATAGATGTTCAGTGCTTTACTTTAGTCCTATAGTTAATTCCGACCCATGACAAAGAATTGTATTATTGGCTATTGCATTTTACGCAATATATTTATATATATGTATATAATACATAGTCGTCACCAGTCAGTCAGTCAGTAACAACGTAGAACTTTGTACGTACGTACATCAGTTCCAGTTGCCATACCACATTAGCACAGAGATGCAGTTGTCGAGGTAGAGGTAGTAAGAGTATTCGCAGTAATAGGAAAGATTAGGGTTTGAAGATGTTATTCAAGGAGTATAATACAGTCAAATAAATTTGGAAAGTGAAGAAAAAAAGGGACATGAAGAATTCAGAAGATTAGAATTTCAGAGAGCACAAAGAGTAGATGCACCTGTGCCATTGCAAAGATTTTGAGCCATGTGATTCAGGGTCTCTAACCATCGGTTGCTATCGTCTCGCCGTCCCCAACCAGGTAGTCTACACCTACCAACATGACTCAGCTCACTTGTCAGTGACTTCATGAACTTGTGCCATGTTTTGGTCTGGCCGCCCCTAGTTTTCTTCCAACCTACTTCTATACCACTGAACATCGCACGTCGAAGCAGTCGGTGGTTGTGTTGGGCATAAGTAACACATATCGCAGCCATCTCAACTGATGAAGTTTCACTTCCTCATCAATTGATTTGCCATCCTTACCTAATACCCGTTTCCTAACAACTGCATTACTTACTCGATGGTCCCAGGTTATACGAGCAATGATTAGTCGTTAGCAGGAGATTTATTGTTTCTGTATTTAAGTCATTTACGGTTATGTGAATGGTTTTTTGTGGATCGTCTAGTTTTTACATTATCAACTTTGCTTACTCTCATTAATGTTTCTTTCTTTTGTTTAATTATTATTTTTTTGTGTGTGATAGGTGTACCTTCTCCTCCGAGCAAATTAATGCCTTCAAGTACGGTGTTCGATTCTAAGGGTCGTCCTCAACTGGATGTAATTGGACCACATTTAATTTCTGAAGGACGACTGACAGAAGAAGCAATACTAAGAATTATTAATGATTGTTCAGCCATTTTAAAATCAGAAAAAACTATGCTTGAATTAGAAGCTCCAATTACAAGTTAGTTCATTCTTTGTTTTTGTCCCTCTCTCTGTCACTATTCTATCGTGATTTTTTTCTTAACACTATTCTTTCAAAATATTTTGATTTTTTTGATAAACATTATATCAGTTGATTGTTTCAACTTTACTCCTTTATAGCAGGATTTCTGATCTGGGTTATTGAATATTTTATCATAATGATTATGTTGTTAGTTGATGTTATTTGCAAATGTTAACACCATTAACATCCCATCTTCGTCTCCATTGTTAGGAATTCGCTTATTACAACCCATCTACTCTTATTGCTTAGAATTATTGGACGCTGCTTTACTCGACGAGTTCCCAAATCAAAACACGGTTGAACAGGAACGTAATTTTGTTCCAAATAAACAAGGTTAGATGGAAGTATGAGTCTTTTGGGTGTTAGTAGCACGCATCTACGACCTCACATGGAATTGAAACTCATGACCTGCAGGTACATATTATCAAGCAGTGGCCAATTTAATATGTAGAGTCAATGTTATCGCTAAGTATCTACCTCACTTCTACAGATCATAGCTCTCCAATAAAATGATGTGTTTTAGATGGTCCTTCATTTATGACTTAAACTGTGTATAGCTCATAAAACATACTCGTCATTTAACGTTGGTTTACAAACGTTTTTGCCCAGTCTTTAGTAGTTGTTATCATCACCTTATGTAACAATTCTGTATAAACCTGTACACGGCTATGTACCTCAGAGTATAAAATTTATCACTCTCTACTGAGTAAGATGATTAGGCGTTTTGAGTCAAATGCTATGTTCATGCCAAAGAAGGATTGATAATTGGTAAACGTGATTATGTGTACTTTTGACAAAATTATATTTGCTTCATAAAGTGAAATGATCATTGTTAAAGCTTATCTAGTGGATATGGAGGATTCACCTCAGGGAGTTGGAAAACACTTATTTCAATCCAATGGTGGACATGAGCTTCAGGATCCTAAGGAAACAAATGGCGTATGAATCTATTGTTGATCACCGGCTACCGTGGAACTGCGTCTCCTTACGTTACTCCTCTGCCTTGTGGGTTAAACCTTTATGTCAAAGGTTCGGGGTGTGGTCCCCTAAGAAAACCACCTGTTTCGGTTTGGGCACCTAGGCGGTATTCCAGCCCTCACACAAATCGAATGATTCATGTGGCGCATATGTATTTGGTGCCTTCTTGTACCAATGTTTATATGTTTAAATAAATAAATAAATAAATAAAATAAACTTACTTTTTTATACAATGACCATTCATAAACATTTTGAGTTAGCTTGAATAGTGATCCCTAAAAGCGTCTCTTAATGAAAATCCTCATTAAAGCATCATCATCATCATCTGTTGGTTTGTTTCATCGTTTACATATCTCATAAATTTTAACTTCTTTTCAAGTAAGATAACTTGTTTCTATAAAACATCACTAAGAAATTGTCGGTTTGACTGTCACATTTCTTTCACTGTCCTGACAGATCGATTGAACATTCATAAAGAAATGTTTTTTAAAATACTTCACCCAACTTTGCTACGTCTCAGTACTTTGACAGTTTATTATCAATAGTTTTATTGACCATGCGGATTTTTCTTGGATATATTTTTTAAATCATAAGTAACTATTAAGCAATCTATTTTACATCTAATGATCACTATTGGTTGAAATTATGATGTAGATTTTTAATTAAATTGGGTTTAAGCTATTTTTATGCTCTCTACCAACCGGAATGAGTTCAGGCTTATTGATTAGTTAGTATAAGACTCTAAAACGGTTCTATCTATAAGAAACCTTTGCTTATATGTCACCATAGATGTATGTATTTAGTGTTATTTCTGTAAGAGATTGAATATGAGGCTAAGTTTTATAATAATGGGAGTCATTTCCATTTTTCACAGCCTAGTCGATTTCTACTTGGAAAAAATATTGCAGCTCTTATGTTCCACTTAGACAATGTGATTTTTCAACTGCCTGTTACTTTTTGGACTAATTCACGAGAGGAAGGCGTAGAAAAAGACAAACTTGTGCGTTATTGAAAATCAAGAAGGTCCGAATTATTTCAAACCAACAAGTTAATGTTTAAACAGTTTACTTATGTCTGGTATATTCTCCACATTGAGATCATGTACCGACCAGTGTTAGAGCACTTCCGAAAACCTGAGAGCACTGGAATCCTGTTTTGTCCTAGTATGGAACTCCTCAGCAACGCACATACACGACACTGCACGCAGGACACGAGCCCAAAACCTTTGGTCTCGCGTGAACGCTTAACCTCTAGACCACTGTATCGGAATCCAAAAGTGTTAGTGTATGACTTCAACCAATCTGTAATAATACGTGACCATTTTCTATTGTCTTTGGTAGGTAATTGCCTCACACTTGATGTGGTTGAACTCCACTGGTCACGATTTCTCACTAGAACTTCAGAAAATATCTCTTGAAACCAGTTACTAGTGAACATATGATTATTAGTATAGAGTTGTTGAGATCGTTATGTTTTAATTGAAGTGATGAACTGAGACCGAAGGTCCTAGGTTCGAGTCTATCATTGATTGATTGATCGTGATCTCAAATAAAACTTAACAATCCCCACAACTACATACTGACTATTTTTTATATGTTCCCATACTGTTGAATAAATCCTTCGTTTTTTTTATCTCAATGTAATATAGTATATGTGTCGTTGAGCTAACTGGATTTCTCAAGTGGGAGTTGTTTAATTTCAATCTTTTTTAAAATCATAGTCAGTATAAGAGGATTAACTCAGTTTTGGATAGACTTTTTTTAAAGCTGATACTATTAAAATGAGGTTTATGATTATAAGTTTTGCTTCACTTCTCATCATCATTTCGACTTTTTTAGTCTAACAATTGACTCAAAATGCAATTCATTTTTAAGTTGTAAGCGAAGAAAACAAACAAATGTATTTGTGAGATCCACTATTGGTACCGATGCGATCACTGCTAATGTACAATAATTTATACACTAGCGGTAATTATTTCTATATACATTGTATTAAACGTTTTAGCGATAATTCATAGGTGTATCAGTTTATTTAAAACTTATAGTTTACATCAGGAACTGATCTTATTTAGACAGCAATTGAAAACTAAGAAGTAGTGAACACCTCCTAGTAAAGGGCTCCTCAACAATGAGCATCCACAACTCTTCAGGGATCAATCTGTGACGAATATAACCTACGAAATAAAAGCAATCTCTACAAGATTTCTTCAATAAAACTGAGACCAAATTTTATAAGTTCGATTTCTTGTGTCAGGTTCATGGAGGAAAATCGCTCAGGAGTTCCATACTAGAACGAAACAGCTGTTCAGTACCCCATAATTGTTAATACCACTCTACCTGCTATCGATCCTTGATGAACATGATCTACAAATTTAAATCTGATTTATTTATAAAACGAATTATCTACTTTATAAACAATGATGTTATCAACAGTATAAATTTAGAAAAGATCAAAATATTTTTTTTTCTTATCAGAATGTATAAATGTATCCTTTAAGATGATTACAAGTTATTTAAAAACAACATTTACTTGTCATATAATTGTCTATTTTACAAATATAATCATACTACTTCATATGGGCAAACTTTCCAATAGTCTGTTGTATACGTATATATTACTGATAATGACAATTATCTTTTATAAATACAACATCGAGTTCATGTTTTATCCAATCAATTTTCTTACAATGGCCCCAAAATTTTCTCCTCCACTTAATAATAAAGGTATAAATGGTCGATCATTGTATATTTTGTTTTTTTTTTAGCCTTTTGAACCATGTATACAGAATTCCATTGTGTAATTTATGTTTTTAGTGTTTTCAATACTGAAACAGTACATTATCTTGTTTTAAGATAAACTCTGTCTTTATATGAAAGTGATAGATAAATCGAAGATGAATATTAAAACAAAAGGGAGCTTATAAACCATTTTCATCATTTGATACGCTGTACGTTTTTTTTATTTATATTTCACAGGTTGAAATCATGAGTCAGTTGAAGCTAGACCACCATTGAAAACCTGGAAGCACTGGATGGCCGTTTCGTCCTGGTATGGGACTCCTCAGCAGTGCACATCCACGATCCCGCACCACGCGGGGCTTGAACCCAGGACCTACTGGCTTCGCGCGCGTGAGTTGTTATCTCACTGAGGACAATGGTGTACGGTGGCGCAACTTCGTGGATTGGTTGAAGTTAGACATTAACACCGTTGGATGCCGGCTCAGTGGTCTAGTGGTTAAGTGCTCGCGCGCGAAGCCAGTAGGTCCTGGGTTCAAGCCCCGCGTGGTGCGGGATCGTGGATGCGCACTGCTGAGGAGACCCATACCAGGACGAAACGGCCGTCCAGTGCTTCCAGGTTTCCAATGGTGGTCTAGCTTCAACTGACTCATGATTTGAACCTGTGAAATTTCTAAAACTCTCCACAAAACCCATTCTGATTATTTATATTTCTTGAAGTTCGATAGATATCAGTGTCTGTTTCTGTCTTTGTACTGTGTCTTTCTTGTTCTTATTTCGTTTTATAAATCTAAAATAAGATAGAAGTGATTTAACTTTTTAAGTTATGCATTCTTACAATGATACTATTATTCATTGTTGTTTTTCATCCATTTATATAAATAAATAAATAGAATGATCAGTTGTATTGTTATGCACTGAAAATGAACAACTTTATCCAGTATATTTATTATTTTATAGAATGATTTATTGTGAAAATTATTGTTTTTCTCTTCATTTTTATGGTTTACTTTTAATTGAGTGAAATGAATATGTTATTCTGTCAACTAGTCTTATGCTAGTCAAACAATAATAGTAGAAGGAAGTCATTGACGTTTAGAGGAAGTTGTTACAATGATGTGTTAGTCGTCTTTTTAATAGACTGATTTGTAGTTTTAGGTAAAACTTTAGACTAAAGCCAATTGAGATTTCTAAATCTGTGTTAAGATATTGTCAGACACTAAACATCTGGGTTGATGAAACTTC